ATTTACAGTGTTTTGGTAGGCTCTCTGCTCTTGTTCTGATGTAATGTAATATATAGGAAACTTAGGATCTTCACCACCTAATATGGGGGCTCCCAGATATCTGAAGTCACAATGACATTACAAAACATCAAAGAAGGAGATGGGTTGGGAGGACCATGTCAAACACCACAGCAAAAGGGAAGATTAGAATTGGGAAAAGACTGAACAAGACGCTGTGTAAACATTTTCTTCTCCAAGTAGGTGTTTTTCCATTTGTGATTTGATAAAGACCCTAAGTTGAATCCCCGAGCCAGCCAGCACTCTGTCATGGCTCCTTAAGGGACCAGAGCTTCCACAGAAACACCTGGGCCTAGTAACACTAATAATTACCTCACTATTCAAAAGAAGTAAGAGTGATATTTAGAGCTGAGTGTCATCAGAAAAATTCTACTTGTCAGACTCCTACAGCATAGATCTGAGGTCATACATTTGGGCCTCTGACCCAAGACACCTATAGAACATTCAGCTCTACACTGAAGCTATATTCCAACCCAAGATCCCCGACCCTAGTCAGGGCTGTTACGACTCTCAGGTATCCAAAAATCACTATTCCATGCCTCAGAAACAGGCTGGGGTCCTGCTCCTTAAGCCCATTCCCTGGTCCAGAGCTCCTAGAATATCTGTGTATGCCTGAGAAAAACACACAGTGGAAGAACTTTCACACAGTGACCGCTGGGGCATGGAGATGCTCCCCTGCGGATGAATCTCCCGTCACTGCAGTGAGCCTAGTCCCCCAGTCTTGCCAGATACCGATTCCTGCTGTCCTCACTGGCCTGAGACACAGATGTCGCATTATTCCTTATGCTCACATTCCAACATTTCCATCCACTGCAAAGCAGATAAGACAAGAAAATTGCAATTAGGTCAAGAAACGAAAATACATTTAAAGAGAAGGAGAAAGATGGGAAAACCTAAGAGGCGAAAGGAGGGGGGTATGAAAAATTAGGCAAAAATAGGAAGGACAACTTTTGTCAATGTGGTATGTCATGGTTGTCAGGGTGGTTGAGACCAGATTGTCCTACTTCTCAAGTATGAATATTTAAATCTTACGAGTAAGAAGTAATTCAAAAATGGAGAAGGCACAGTTAATGCTGTGTAATGCCCCCTTTCCAAAGTTGAAGCAGTTGAGAACTGAAAAATTAAAACATATGAATTTCGTGAGTGAGGGGGCCCTAAAGACCCTCAGACATTGTGTCACGGAGTGGAATGGGGGTAGAGGCTAGATGATAAGGCAGAAAGAGGCAAGAGCTAGTTGATAGCTAAGAAATGGAAGGAGAAGAATCTACTTCTTAAAATTAACTGTAAAGAGAAGAAAAGAGCAAAATATGAGAATATGGTAAATATGGTCATCTAATGCTTTAGTTTCAGGTTGTAGCAAAGAAATGTATTTTTCAAAAGGCTGACAGATGGAAAAAGTGGAGGAGAAACTAGGAGTGCAAGAAAAAGAGAATTACTTATCAAGCAAATTCCCATGGTAGAGGGAAAGGAAAAAAACAAAATTCACAAAATGTAGGTAGAAGAGGTAAAACAAAAATTTTAGATAGAAAGCCTAAAGTTAGAGGAATTTGAGATGATGTTTATTATAGGATTTAAAAGCAAACAATAACTTTGAAAGGGGAATAGGTACCCAGTATAAAGACTGTCGTGAGTGGCAGTTTTCCAAAGTATCTTCATTTAGAAAAGAGGCTTCAAAAAATGAGGCAGAGTCACCTTTGTTCTCATTAATCAAGAAATTCTGTAGAAGTAACTTAAATTTCCTCTCACACTTTAAGTTTTCTGTCCATCAAAACTGGCATTACTATCTACTTCTGAGCAGTCATTACATTTTAAAAATTACTGTCAGTATTCCTTAGTAGCTAGTTTTGCTAGATAAAACTAACCGTCTTAAGCTGCCACATTTCAAACAGAGGTGGATTTTTCCATTGATAAGCAATCATTTTACCTTTTTGCTGTCCTAGCATTAGAGACTTCCTTGACAGTTTCAAATTGTTAAAATACTGGGGTTTTTGTCTTCATTCTTTTGCTTCATAAATCACAACATCAAGTATTCATATAGGCAGATTAAGAGCCCCAGTAACTAGGTTACCAAGCACTGAGCCATAATTTTAAGGACCCAGATAGAAATCAATGTTATAATTTTAGACAAATGAATGTAAGAATACTAATTTTTACCTTCTTCTCAATCAGCTATCAAACTCTAAGCCACTTTTGCACCCTACCTCCCATTAAAACATAGTTTGACACACTGATGGCTATTAATATGAAATGGGTTTCAAATTCAATATTAGACCATGCTGGCTTTCCTTATTATAAAAATATTTTTGTATTTCTGTGGTTCCTTTCACTTGGGAATTTCAAAGACTTCTTACTTTTTAAAATCTTCATTACATTGGAAAGCCATTAAACCAGTCATCAAGAGAATATTACCAAAAAAGTGAATCACAGTACATTTGAGCAAGTTTCCTACTCAATATAATATAAATTTGTTTAATATCTGAGATTAGCATTTAGGATTCAAGACAGATGCCTGTGAACTCTAAGTCAATTTCAAGCCAATATGCCTGGAAAATAAAAAAAAATCCAAAGTATTCATTATTCAACTGTAGAACAGAAACACATAAATTCTGCAACAAAGATAAATGGGACATTATTTTTAGCAAGAGAATTTCAAATATTGTTAAGAATTGTCTAGGTTCACTGGTATCAGAAATGATGGAAAATCTGCAACTAGCTAATTACCTTGTATGTTGTAATACTGAATAATAATTTACTAACATTACTACTTTTGAGAAAGTACTGAAATTAATTGCATTTACTAAATAATTTTTAGGTAACTACACCAAATAGAATTAGCGAAGAATATCGCCAATTTAGATAGTTCTACATGTTGTCAATTCTCAATTTTTCCCACATGGCTTGAAGTTTTATGAAACCAGCCTTTTTATAATACAACAGTGATGGCTCACTTGTTAAATTCACTTCTTGGTAAAAACTCCTTTTAAAGAAAATGTTCTGGATACAAAGAGAATGAAAAGTAGGAGTCATCACACTCTTGGGCACAAGGTGGCAGCAGCTGAAGGGTCTGGACTGTAAGAGAGTTCTCTGCATGCTATGTTTGTACTTAATGTCCTCACTTAGGTTTGATTGTTTAGTTTTTTATTACAAAATAAATTATGATTATAAAAATGCAATGTCAAAATCTGACTAATTCAGCTAATAACTGATTTTTAAAAGTACCATTTCATAAAGTAATTTTGTACTTAAGATTTTAATATTATGTTCTGTTTAACAGATGAAACATTTTTATTCTAATGCACATTTTTAAAATTAATGTAGCATTATAGTGTTTTAATATCTGAGTACATCACTTGCTCTTTTTCATTTCCTTAAAACTTGGGTTCATTCATTCTTATTCCAGAAAAGATCTTTATCCTCCCTGTGTCAAGTTCCAAAAGAATCCTCTTAGATTTATTATGGCGATTCTCTGAACATTATGGAAGTTAACAGAGTCAACAGTTTTTCTACCTAGAGTCATGATGTCATTTACTAAGAAGTAAAACTTGTCCTTCAGTGACTAATACAACTTTCTTCTTTGGGTCTTCCATATCTGTATCAGGATTATTTCTAACATATATAAGGAAATACAACTACATTAAGAAAAGGAATAAAGCCCTTGTTTATTTTGTGAACAGGATCTTTTCCTATTATTTGGAAATCTGGTGACTGTCACATGTTTATTTTAAAATTGATAACATTACTAAACTCTCATCAGTTACAATGGATTTTCAGTTGCCTCCTTAAACTTTATGAATAAACTCCAATTTTATGAACATAATTAACATAAATCCTAACTTTATGTTAAATCTCAATTTCTCTGGCAAAGGTTTAAAATATATTATTATATTTAATCCTTACAAAAAACCTTAGCAAATAGTATATGGTGTAAGTTTTATATATATTTTCACTAACTGAAAAAATAAAAGAGGAGAGACCCTGGTGAAAACAGCAAAGGGCCAGCATAATCATTCCTCCATCGCACCTTCTGTCTCCATGCCGTTAGCAAGCATGGCTTTGCTCCTGACCCTGTTTCCAGCAACTAGCCAGTCATCTCCTGCCAAAAACACTTACCAACATACCCAAAAGCAAGATCATCTTTCTCCGCAGCTTGCTAGGTAATCCATTCTTCTCCTATGGATTCTTGTAACATTGTTTATCACCACTTAAAAGCCATTTAATACATTCTACTTCCTTCATCTCTCTATAGGAAAACATAACCCTGGAAAGCAGATACTAATTATTTATAACTTTTTGTAGCTCACACAACACGTGCAGGCTGTCAATGAGCAAACAATGAACTCAAGTGAATTCCAGCTTCTCACTTTGGTGCCTTGAATAAACCCCAGCAGTGAGCACCCCCTCCACTGCTCCCCTCACTGGGGCACATCCCCAGAAACAGCAGGTGCAGAATACAGGTCATTCATGGGACTAGCAGAGGCACGACCCAGAGAGACCAATGTAAGGAAACCCAGGATCCCAGTGGGCATAAAAGTCTGTCACTGGTTTAAAATGAAGAAACTGAGGGTAGTTTTTGCCCAGGCAAAAAAAAGAGGCAACCTACACCCATACTGCTTAGGACATTTCCCTTTTGGATAATAAAGATCATCATCCAAATGATGAACTCTCCCTAGTTAGCCGATGGGATGGGCATCAGCAGTGCACAGGTGCCTGCTTGCACGGGAATCAGGGCCCGTTCAGCACAGTCGTTAGGCCTCTTACATACGTGAAAACTGGGCTCTGCCAACACTCTGGATTCCTAATAACATCTGTATTCCTAATAATCTTACTATCAAAAGCCTCCAAGAGGGATAAATCAATATCTACTACTGTGGCGCCCTTTCATCCCCAGCACGTCTTCCCCAGTGAAAGCATGTAACCCTCCTGTAAGTCACCCGGATGCTCACGTCAAACTCGTTCAGCGCCGCAGCCAGCTCGCCGATGCCCGTGTGGCCCTTGGCCTCGTCAGTGGGCGAGGTCGCTTGGGCAGCACTGGAGATGCCGGCGATGGCCTCCTGGACTTGCTTGAACACGTAATCTCGGTTGGCCCTTGTGGCGGCAACATCAGGGTGGCGGAGAAAAGCCTGGGAGGCCGTGTACAGCATTGTGGCATTCTTCTTCAGGGCCCCTCGGGCGGCTGCCATCTCGTCCCGACAGTGAGGGTCCTTCAGCTCCTGTGTGTGCAAGATACGAAACCTATCACACTCACGAAGCTCACCACCAAAGTGTGTGCAATAGGACTTAAAGTCACAGACTCAAAACTGCACCAAAGTTTAGGAACCATCTATGCTCCCCTGCACTCTCTCTAGCTTCCAGGACTCTGATATGCTGTTCTTTCTGTGTCAGATACCTGAGCATCCCCCCACTACCTGGCATGGCCCATCCGCCTGGACCTCACTCTCCACCAAGCTCTCCCAGCGATGTCCTCTTCCATCTGCTCCCGCAAGACTCTAATCCCTCCTCTCACCAACACACCAGACTTCACTGCATTTACATAAGTGTATGTTTCCCTCTTGAACTGTATGTCTAATGAGAACAGGGAGCTTGCCCATTTTAGTCAGTGGCTTTTTAATCATTAACACAGTATCTGGCCCTAAAAAGATATTCAATAAATATTGCTGGAAAGAAAAAAAAAAAGCAAAACTGGGCCTTCAATAAGATAAACAGTTTGCGTGGATCAGAGTTAGTTAACACCAAATGGAAAGCCCAAACTCCAATCTTCTGCTTGCCTCCATTGTCAATTATAATTACAAATATGGGGAATCAAAAGACTTCTAATTCTGGCTTAGGGCATCAATGCTTCTTCATTAGCTTTCAGAATAGGGTTCATTCTTTGAATAGAAAACTACCTTTAGTGGTAGTCCAATCACTGAATTTAGGGAATAAAAAATTGATCAAAGATGATTTGCTTTTTGAGTCTGAGAGGTGAAAATACTACCTCTAGGGAGTCCCTTTATCTTCTGCTTTAAAGAGTATTGTAAAGAAAATGTTTGCACGATTTTCAGAAATATTAAAAGCAGTGCTGCTCTGAGAGCCATGTACACATGCTGACTCAGTGTCTCAGGGGGAATATTTGCTCAGCTTCAAAACATCACTTAAGGGTGTTTGAATCCTAGGGTCCTATTACTAGTTCCTCATTTGGCACATGATGGATTGAGGACCTGTCAACAGTGAATCCCATCTTTATTTTAATGGACCCTTCCGTGTTTGGAGATTTTTGGTTTCCTAGGGAAAAAGAATAAGACAATACTCTTTGGGAACAAAATTCTAATGGTACTGAATAAACAAATAGAACTAGCTAAAACCGAGTGCCATCTATCACTAGACAAAGGGGAAGCACGAAGGTCCCAGGTCATCCATCTTCAACAAAGTGACTCACTCTCACCTGTGCTCTCACTGCCCCCATTTCTCTTTCTCTGATTTTCTTCTAATTTTCTTTGTATTGTGTTCCTCTTCCTCATAAAGGTTTCATACTGTATGCTGCATATGTTGGGTGTGCAAATGCATGGTGGGGCCCACAGAGCTAGGAAGAAAAAGTGAGGGTAATCGGTGGAACTCCGAGAGTGACCACCATACCACATGGCAGTTTGCTGTCCTTATATGACTCTGGAGCCTCCCCCACAGTGGACAAGGGCTAGAGGGTGGTGGGGCCAGCAGGGAGATTCCCACCAGGGAAGCAGGCCTATGACCTTCTCTGCATAGACAGGCCAGAGAGTACCCAGGGCCCACAGTAGTATCAGAACTATCCTCAGTAGGAAGCCGCCTTTGTGATTCCAGGTGCAGAGGGCCCTTGATAATTCCAGAGCCTAAAGATGAGCTTAATCCTGCTTCTGAGGTTTATAAAGCTATAAGGTTAAACACACACCTATATGTATTTTTTCCCAAACCATATCCAAAATCTTTCCCACCTGTTGTCTTCTTGCTGCTACATAATTAAGTTTCACCATCTCTTTACCAAATTCTTTAAAGCGGTTTGCAAGATCTTGTTCATTTGTAGCATTTTTGACAGCTTCCAGGGCTTCCTCCACCTGAAGTGATTAAAAAATATATAACTATTTACAGATAAATAGAAATTATACATCATTATTAGAAACGGTATTTTGTAAAAAAAAATACTAACATGCATTAACATAGAAATAAAATAGGAGAAATGTACTAACATTTATAATCAGAATAAACATTTTTTCAAGATGTACCAAATATTCTCTACACAAAAGATACCTGATGGAAGAGAGATTCAAGATGGCAGTGTGAGAGGTGAGACAGAGAACTTCTCCCAAAACCATATATATTATGAAAATATAGTTAATACAACTAATCCTGAAAGAGCAACAGGAAAGAAGGCTGCACCAGAATGCATGCACCTGGAGAACAGAGCAGACCTCAGGAAATACGGTAACGTACCAAAGCCTTAATTTGGTGGGACCCAACCCTTCCCCCACCCCAGATCAAGGAGGGGAGGAAGAGAAATGGAGCAGGGAGGGGGTGGAAGCCTAGGACTGCTGAACACCCAGCCCTGGAGATCTGGAGATTTGTGGTGTTGGAAAGCTAAGACAGGCGGAATACTTGGGGAGACAGAGATTCCAGCTGTTGATGGAGGACAGGGATCCAAGTCTGGCTGCTCTGGGACAAAGGAAAGGTGGGTGGTCTGAGAGGCTTCCTAGGAGTGACAGGCCTGCTGAAGGAGCAGGCTTTGCACAGAACTTGCTGCATGGGAGAAGGGATAGGTGGACAAGGTTGTCTGGGCATGCTCTGCCCAGCAGGTTGGGAACTTTCAGGAGCTTCAGGTGGTCCATCTCCCTGGCTGGCTACTCAGCTCAGTGCCCCTCAATGTGATACTTAGCCTGTTGCACCTTCCTCCAGCACTGCTGGCACTGGTTCACAAACTGGCAGTCCCTGCCCTGGCATCAGGTCAGCCAGAGGGAAGCCCCACCTATAGAAGCTACAGAGCACAAAAGCTTACACCTGTGTGCTGGCCCACTGGATCTGACAGTGGAGACAGGCGCTGTAGCCAAGAAGCAGGAAACATCTCTTTTCTCCCACAAGGCACCAGCGCCGCTCCCCTGCAATGCCCAACATCACTCCAGCAGCAGAGCAGCTCCAGAGACTAGAGCCTTTGGGCACTAGAAAGTGCCACATACAAATATGAAATGTCAAAGGAACACGGTTCAGACCAAAAGCTCAAACACATCAGAAAAAGGCCCAAATGAAACTGAACTCATCAATCTTCCTGAAAGTGAGTACAAAATAAAAATCATAAACATGCTCATGGAGGTACAGAGAAACATGGAAGAACTCAGGGATGAATTTACAATGGAGATTCAATCATTAAGAAATTCCATATCTGAAATGAAATATACAATGGAGGGACTTAAAAGCAGATTAGATGTAGTAGAAGAGAGAGTAAATGGAATAGAAATTAGAGAAGAGGAATACAAAGAAGCTAAAGCACAGAGAGAAAAAAGGATCTCTAAGAATGAAAGAATATTGAGAGAACTGTGTGACCAATCCAGATGGAACAACATTCACATTATAGGGGTACCAGACGAAGAAGAGAGACAAAAAGGGATACAAAGTGTCTTTGAAGAGGTAATTGTTGAAAACTTCCCCAATCTGGGGAAGGAGATAGTCTCTAGGCCATGGAGGTGCATGGATCTCCCAATACAAGAGACCCAAGAAAGACAACATGAGAACATATAATAATTAAAGTGACAAAGATTAAGGATAAGGACATACTTTTAAAAGAGCTAGAGAGAGACAAAAGATCACGTACAAAGGAAAACCCATCAGGCTATCATCAGACTTCTCAACAGAAACACTACAGGCCAGAAGGGAGTGGTATGATATATTTAATGCAATGAAGTAGAAGGGCCTCAAACCAAGAATACTGTACCCGGCAAGGGTATCATTTACATTTGAAGGAAGGATTAAACAATTTTCAGATAAGCAAAAGCTGAGAGAATTTACCTCCCACAAACCACCTCTACAATGCATTTTGGAGGGAATGCTATGGATGGAAGCATTACTAAGGCTAAATAGCTGTCACCAGGGAAAATAAAACCACACCAAAGTAAACCAATTAATTACTAAGCAGATGCAAAATCAAATCAACTACCCCCAAAGTCAAACAAGGGATAGACAAAGAGTACAGAATACACCTAATATATAAAGAATGGAGGAGGAATAAAAAGTAGAAAAAAAAGCTCTAAGTTGTGTTTGTAATAGCATACTAAGTGAGTTAAATTAGACTGTTAGATAGTAAGGGAATTACCCTTGACCCTTTGGTACCCATGAATCTAAAGCCTGCAATGGCAGTAAGTACATATCTATCAATAATCACTCTAAATGTAAATGGTCTGAATGCACCAATCAAAAGACACAGAGTCACTGAATGGATAAAAAACCAAAACCTGTCTATATGCTGTCTACAAGAGACTCACTTCAAACCCAAAGAAATACACAGACTGAAAATAAAGGGATGGAAAAGATATTTCATGCAACTAAAAGGGAGAAAAAAGCAGGAGTTGCAGTACTTGGATCAGACAAAATAGACTTCAAAACAAAGAGAGTCACAAGAGACAAAGACAGACATTACATAATGATGAAGGGATCGATCCAACAGAGGATATAACCATTATAAATATCTATGCACCTAACAAAGGAGCACCTACATATGGGAAACAAATACTAACAGAATTAAAAGGGAAAACAGAATGCAATGCATTCATTCTAGGAGACATCAACACTCCACTCACTCCAAAGGATAGATTAACCATACAGAAGATAAGTAAGGACACAGAGGCACGGAATAACTCATTAGAACAGATGAACCTAACAGACATCTACAGAATTCTCTACCCAGAAGCAGCAGGATACACATTCTTCTCAAGTGCACATGGAACATTTTCAAGAATAGATCATATACTAGGCCATAAAAAGAGCCTCAGTAAATTCAAAGAGACTGAAATTGTACCAAACAGCTTCTCAGACCACCAAGGTATGAAACTAGAAATAAATTACACAAAAAGATGAAAAAGCCCACAAACACATGGAGGCTTAATAACATGCTCCTAACTAATCAATGGGTCAATTACCAAATAAAAACAGAGATCAAGCAATCTATGGAGACAAATAACAACAATTATTCAACACCGTAAAATCTGTGGGATGTAGCAAAGGCCATACTAAGAGGGAAGTATATTGCAATACAGGCCTACCATAGGAATGTAGAACAATCCCAAATGAACAGCCTAAACTCACAATTAATGAAACTAGAAAAAGAAGAAAAAATGAGGCCACACTCAGAAGGAAGAATATAATAAAAATTAGAGCAGAAATAAAATCGAGAAGAATAAAACAGTAGAAAGAATCAATGAAAGCAAGAACTGGTTCTTCGAGAGAATAAACAAAATAGATGAACCCCTAGCCAGACTTATCAAGAAAAAAAGAGAGTTTACAAATAAACAGAATAAGAACTGAGAAAGGAAAAATCACTACAGAAACCAGAGAAATACAAAGGATTATGAGAGAATATTATGAAAATTATATGCTAATAAACTGGATAACCTAGAAGAAATGGACAACTTTCTAGAAAAATACAACCTTCCAAGGCAGATGCAGGAAGAAACAGAAAATCTGAATAGACCAATTACTAGCAAGGAAATTGATTTGATAATCAAAAAACTACCTAAGAAAAAAATCCTTGTCCAGATGATTTCACTGCTGAATTTTATCAAACATTTAGTGAATACCTAATACCCATCCTCCTTAAAGTTTTCCAAAAAGTGGAAGAGGAGGGAATAATCCCAAACTCATTCTATGAGGCCAGCATCACTCCAATACCAAAACCAGGCAAAGACACCACAAAAAAAGAAAATTACAGACCAATATCCCTGATGAGCATAGATGCAAAAATACTCTACAAAATACTAGCAAACCAAATTCAAAAATACATCAAAAAGATCATCCATCATGATCCAGCAGGATTTATTCCAGGGATGCAAGGATGGTACAACATTCAAAAATCCATCAACATCATCCACCACATCAACAAAAAAAGGACTAAAACCACATGATCATCTCCACAGATGCTGAAAAAGCATTTGACAAAATTCAACATCCATTCATGATAAAAACTCTCAACAAAATGGGTATAGAGGGCAAGTATCTCAAAATAATAAAGGCCATATATGACAAACCCACAGCAAACATTATACTTAGCAGCGAGAAGCTGAAAGCTTTTACTTTAAGATCGGGAGCAAGACAAGGATACCCACTCTCCCTGCTTCTATTCAGGTCTGGAAGACCTAGCAGTGGCAATCAGACAACACAAAGAAATAAAAGGCATCCAGATTGGCAAGGAAGAATGTAAACTGCCCCTGTTTGCAGATGATATGACACTGCACATAAAAAATCCTAAAGAATCCACTCCAAAACTACTAGAACTAACATCTGAATTCAGCAAACTTGCGGGATACAAAATTAATACACATAAATCTGTTGTGTTCCTATATACTAACAATGAACTATCAGAAAGAGAAATCAGGAAAAAAATTCCATTCACAATTGCATCAAAAAGAATAAAATACCTAGGAATAAACCTAACCAAGGAAGTGAAAGACTTATACTCTGAAAAGTACAAGACACTCATGTGAGAAATTAAATAAGATACCAATAAATGGAAACACATCCTGTGCTCATGGATAGGAAGAATTAATATTGTCAAAATGGCCTTCCTTCATAAAGCAATCTACAAATTCAATGCAATCCCTACCAAAACACAACAGCATTCTTCAACAAACTAGAGCAAATAGTTCTAAAATTCATATGGAACTACAAAAGACCCTGAATAGTCAAAGCAATCCTGAGAAGGAAGAATAAAGCTGAGGGGATTATGCTCCCCAACTTCAAGTTCTACTACAAAGCCACAGTAATCAAGAAAATTTGGTAGTAACACAAGAACAGAACCATAGACCAATAGAACAGACTAGAGAGCCCAGATATAAACCCAAGCATATATGGTCAATTA